GACCTTGAAGAGGAGCGTCCCATGCTGTAAGATTTAGTTACAGTCCCTCTTGTTTTCTCATATATGGACACAGTAGTCTACTAAATATTAGACTACCTGGTCTTTTAGAATGCCCTGTCCTTTGTAATGTTCTCCTTGACGTCAGGTAAATTGTTTTATTTCAGCATCCAATCCCATTCCAGTTTTGCTCTCCAGGGGAAAGGTGTTTGAACTGCTGGATAGCTCCGTGGTTTAGACATCTGCTTGTGGAGCCAGATGTTGGGAGCTTGATTTTCCCACTGTGCTTCCTTGACAAGGGCTGGATTCAGTGATCTTCTATAGAGTCTCCTCTAGCTTTGAAGTTCTGATTAGTATTATTATTGATCAGAAAGTGAATGTTTGTCTGCTGGACCAGGCCAAAGGACTGTTCATATAGGAACCAAGAGCATTCTGTTCATAAAGTCTCCTCTGAGAAACCTATGGGCAGGACATGCGTGCAGTTGTATTCTCCCTGGCAGGGAATATGCAGAGGCATGATGGTTCCGTTACTGGCATCTAATCCCTACAGTCAGAACTGTCTTTGGAAATAGGTCACCATGTAGAGCAGAAATGTTAAACTTAAATCCACAGGTATTTTGGGGAGGTGGCTTGGCAGTGATCCTGTGTGCACTTAACTTGAAAATAAGTTCTGGAAATTAGGTTAAAAGAATCTGTCTCTTGAGATGTTGTGGGCAATATGGCTTACCACAATATCATGTTTGTGATAATGGAGAAATTAAATGAAAGAAATGGCACTGATGCCCAAGCAGACTTTGTACATTGTACAAGTTGTCGAGAATGGGCTGATGAGATGAAAGCGCAAGGGAGAGTAATGCCCTTTATTTATTATTGTTTGATATGACATCTGACTATAATGGAAAAACCTAAGGACTTCCATAAAACATGTAAAGAGTAAGCATGGTTATATGAGCATGTTCATACCTCCTTTTTTCCTGAGCAGAACATTTGGCTACCCATCTTATTACCTAAGTGTGTGTCAAAATTCTCCTGAGGAAATCTGAAGCCTTGCATGTGACTGTGGGATTGTCACTTTCCTTACCTTTTCATTTGGTAGGATTTTCATGCTTACCAACAACTTTTCTCTATTTTTGTTAATGGATTTTCTTTGGTTTAGAGACTTTAGATATATATGAACAGCAGAGAGTCACTGTTTGAAGAAGAAACTGAGTGGCATATTCCATGACTAAAACTGAGGAGCAGAGTTGGTTAATACTTTGTGTTGGTGCCAAAATGTTGGTTCCAATTACCCAATAATGTTTTTCATCACCATTTTTTCTTGCATATTTGGATGCAAATTGGAAATGCAGCTAGCTTTGTGTAAGAAGGCAACGTTAAAGCAGTATTTGAAAAATCTCACAGACTGTCAGATCTTACTATCTGCAGAACTTTTTGGATCCCCAAGAAATTAGATTTTGAAACATTTGTACAGATTGTTCTGTTCAAGGTAAGATAAACAAGGGGCATCCTAAATCAGTGTAATAAACAGAGAATGAGCATTATTTGTCCCGCCATGTTTTGTAGCTGGCCTTTCAGGTGCTGGTACCGAAAATAAAATTAAGAATAGCTATTGGAATATAATATGTTGAAACAGAATAGATTTGGTGAACAGCAAAAGGGTAAGGGAACAAGTATGAGTCATTTTATAAGTGACTAAAATAGAAAATAAATGCTTTCCCAGCCGGTAAAAAACATGGTATAGAAAAATGCAGTAAACAAGCACAAGGACATAGCCAAGCTACTCTGAGATGTTGTTTCAAAGTCCATTACGCTTATCTGCTACCTTCCTGGATACAACCAAGTAAATATCTTTTTATTTAAGACCACCTTTTAGTTTAACATTTAAGTGGCCCACCACAGACTTTTCCACAGAGGAAGCTCATTTGTGGAATAATAACCCCTGAGTGCAAAACAGAGGGCTGTGGGGGCAGGTGGGCTGGGGGGTGGGTGGGAGAGATTGATGGGCCCTTGGGTTTCTGGGAGCCAAGGAACTGTCTCTGGCAATTCACCTGGGGTTCCATTTTGTGATTCACACTATCCTTGACTGGTGGTTGATTAGGGTGATCAAGTGTCCTCTGTTTTCCAGAGGCCAATCTCTATTGAGTGTGGGCCTTTATTTAATTTGTTTGGTTTAGGTTCCAAAAAGGAGAGCAAGGGCCTTCAGGATCACCCCCAACACCTAGCGCTTGGACAACAGACTGTTTCTCTGTTAATACTTATTTTTTTTCTCTCTCTCTCTGTCTATCAGCCTGCCGGCCACCCAGTCACCCACCCGCCTAAAATTAGAAGGTGCCCATCTTATACAAACTTCTGCCCTCTTTTGTCCTTTGTTTGGGTGACCCATTTTCTTACTTGGAGGGGCGTATAAATGGCTTACGACACCCTGTCCTCCTCAGCCTCTTGGACTGAAGGCACTGCTAAAGGTTGTGGGAGAGGGAAGAGGGAAGAGGCAAAAGCAACTACATAAGGGGCAGACTATATGAAACACCAGCTTCGGAATTATAGCATGATAAAAAGCTATCCTTCCAGAAGTGAAGTCCTTCAAAGCAGAAACAAGGAGATAAGTCATCATCCTTCTAGGCCCAAATTCTCTTAAAGCTGCCATGCCTACACAATGATACATGTAAATGAAGTCCGTGTTTACCTCCTGATTATCATTCTTAAAACAAATGCAAGCTCATTTGCAACACGAAGAGTCAAGGAGATCTTATGGAAGGATAAGCGTATGTTTAAAAATCTTAATGACAAGATAACTGTAAGGTAAGAGGAGTGGAAAGAAGGCCAATTAACTTCAGCAGACGGTGTATGTAAATGACATGAAGATTCTTGAGCAAGCAGGATTAGCTCCAAAGAATACTTGCTAAAATAGTAATGCCTGGAAAGGAGTTCCAGAACCCCCACTGCACTGGTCATCGTCTCTGTGGAGAAGGCAAGGAAGGTGGAGAGGAATCACAATGTTATGTCCAGACAGTGATCTGAGATAACATGAGTATCCCCAGCCTGGCTTGCCTACCCAATGGAAAGGATGGACAGTGTGAGGATGAATCCCATGTTATCTCCAGTGCATGATCAGAGATAGCTCATATCATGCCTTGGTCACTCATCTCAGTCAGGAGAACTAGAGCAGTTAGGGGAAAATATCTTTGTTAATCTTTTACTGACCTGAGGTAACACAGGGATTCCTTCCACTCCCATTTTTATTTCTTATGGGAAATAAAACTACAGTATGGCAGAGAAGACTTCCTGTGTTTTCTCTGGTCAGTAATAGAAGAAGGTTCTTTTTATCCTACTTGCCTACTTGTAGGATGAAGGGGTTCACAGTGGGGAGGCCTTCTTCTAGACCCTTTGCAGGCCATATTAGGTCCGTGGATGGAAAGGTCCCGCCCCTGCAATGAACGTAATGCCTTCTCTTCTACTTTTACCTTGCCAACAGAAAAATCTGAGTATGCGTTTAAAGCAAAAAATATCCTGTTTTTAAATTCATAACTAGTAGTTTCAGGAAAATATTGACATGATCATTGGAACACATTGAATAACAGAAAATTACATGCTTTTAGGAAGAAGAGTTTCAGTGTTATAAACTTGTTTCAAAATGTAGAACATAGTACAAGGTTGAAATTAAAGAACAACCATAACTTGAAAGAACCATGTTACGTAAACAAGTTGTGTCAAATAATATTTTTATTCCTTTTTCCCTTAAAATGTTGGGCTCATGTAGTGCTGAAGTGCAATTACAATTTTCAGAGAAATAACTACAGTTCTCAAACAAATATGTGAATTCTTGTTTATCATGTTTTTAAGGGATGCATTCAGTGTCATGAATCAGATATTGAATTAATGCATCCTGTAAAACATAATTATAGCAGCACATTTGGCTGAAAACTTCTTTTACATCACTGATGGCCAAAATGAATGTTGCCGTGCATTTATGTTGTTTGTTTATCTGCATCCATGTCATGACGTCACTGGGCAGGTAGAGTTCAATTAATTAATTAGCAATGTTGGGGGCAGTGGTTCATAAAATAAGGGGTAATTAGAGAGAACACACTATAATCCTGAGTTTACTGGACAAATAAATCTTTCCTGTGATGTAAAGATGGGTCAGGTTAAGCAGGCCTGCAATTATTTTCATGAACTTTATTTAGTGCCATTGCCTATAAAATAATGATTAAAACCTTACTCTAGAGTAAAGAACGCAATGTGTGACCTATCCTCTCCTGCAATCCATTAGCCATGTGTGGTGTTTTGGTGGCTACACCAAATTTAGCTACAGTGATTTAACTGCACATTGCCCCTTCAGGGGCAGGTTTTCCTCACTCTATTCATTCCTTGACACAGGAGAAATCCTGCTGTAGGGCTGCCTTTTAGAGTCCTGCTAGGAGGATGCCCACAGCTGTGTAAATAAATGAGTTATTCATATAAGTATATGGTGTGAATTCTGTAGTCATCGTTCAACAAACGATACCATTTTGTACTATTCCAGAAGGTAAAACAGAAACAAAAAGGTTGGTTTGGATCCTGAATTAATTGGCAACAGGGATTAGCCTTCACCAGGGTTAACAATGCTGCTGATTTCATGGCAAGACCAGCTGCAAAAGTTCTGGCTGCACTGCAGCAAGAAAAAGATGGGATTTCCTGATCTAGTGATGTGTTCCTGGCTGCTCAACTTTGGTTAATCAATCAGGAGTACAGTACAGTACTGTATTTGTACAATGCACTTTGGTGAAGTGTTTGAATTTTTGATTGTTAAGGAAGGCACAGCTTCATTATCTTCACACACTTTGAATAAACCCTTAATTTATGCAGAGTTTTTGGATTATGAAACAATGTTTCATCTAGGCTTTTGTATTTCTGGAGGATAACCATCTTTCTCTTCACCTGGTGGATAATTCAACCAGCAGGCCTAGATGGGGAAACTCTGTTTTGCTTGGCATTACTCATCAAATGCTGAATTATCTTTTCAGGTCTAACATGTGTGTGCCAGTTGTGTGAAAAAACAAACTTCACTTGTAAAACTGAAGGAGCATGTTGGACTTCTGTCATGCTAACCAATGGTAGACAAGAGGTGATAAAGGCATGTGTTTCCTTGCCACAACTGAAGGCACAAATCTTCTGCCACAGTTCCAAGAACATAGCCAGGACAGAATGTTGCTATACAGATTTCTGCAACAATGTCACGATTCATTTGCTCCCAGGTAAGTAAGACTTGGTAGTGCAAGAAATCGTGGTTTTTTTAGTATTTAAATTTATTTATTTCTAAAGAATGAAAAGACAATCAACCATATTACAAATAGTATATAAAAAGCTATTCCCCACATTTCTCCAAATCACATATATACCATTCCCCGTCACCTTTTAAAGAAATATTGATCAACAATCTAAATTTCTTTTCAAACCACATGTCTCAAAGTCTATTTTTTCGGCATATTTTAATAATGGCTTCCAATTTTCCGTGAATTTACTATGGCTTATTTCTTCTCTATGTAATCTAACTTTATTAGTCATTTTTTCCATCAGCAATATATAGCATATTTTACTTGTGAATGCTTGCAATGAGAGATCTTGGGCTTTTTTCCAATTTTTAGCTATTTCAGATCTTGCGGTGCCTATAAGATTTGCAACTAATTCTTTGTATTCTAGTTACTCATTTCCCCCTGTGAATAATGAAAATAACAATAATGTTTCATTAATATCTATTGTTTGATTAGTCGGTGTTTCTGTCCATCTAATTACCTCCTGCCAAAAAGTTTCTATTTTCGGGGAAGAGATCCACATATGTTCTAGAGTTCCTTTTTGTCCACAGTTTGTCCAACATTTATCAGATATATCTTTATTAATTCTATGTAGTTTTGTAGGGTATAGATGCCACCGATGCACTATCTTTAGAACTGTTTGTTTTGCATTTGCTGATATAGATTTATATGGGTATTTTTTCCAGATTCCTGTCCAAATTTCCTCAGGTATATTAATATTTAAATTTGTTTCCCACACCGTTTTAGATCCTCCACCTTTTTCATATTCTTTCTCAATAATGCTTTTATATATTAGTGAGGTTAGTCCTCTCTTTTTATTTTTATCTTTTTGTATACAATATTGTTCAAATTCAGTTAATGTTCTTAGAAAGCCAGTTTTTTGTTGTGAGTAGCGAAACTTCTTGTTTGTTTTATTTGTAACCAATTGCTTTTTATTTGCTTTGTTTTCTCTTCTATCAGTATTTGCCTGATAGTAATTAGTTCCCCTGAATCAAATAAGTCATTAATTCTATATATTCCAGTTTGCTTCCATTCCTTAAATTGTGCATATTTCTCTTTAGACTTTTTAAGAAATCATCAAACAATATGTAAACATCAGCATTTCCAAACCTTTGGCACCTTGATCCTCCAGTTACAGACTTTCCTCAGTGGTATATGAGCAAGCAGACTTGCAAATTAAGTCTGTGTTTATCTCCTAATGACCAATCACAGAACAAAGCAAACTGATAGCAAGATGTAGGAGGTAAAGCATTGCTCATTCTATGACAAACAGGTGCCTTACAATGCTTAAAGAAGCCCTGATTCTAATGACATGGTACCTGCATCATCTAGTTTGACCCAAGATCTCATATGGCTGCAGTCCTATCACAATTGCCTAGGAATAAACCTAGTTGAATATAGTGAAATCCACTTCGGATTAAATATGTGTAGAGTTGTGCATGCTAGAATGGAATTAGATTGCACCTTTTTTGTTTTTAAGATCATGTTATGGGAAGCTCATCAACAGAAGTTTTTAAAAGTTTGTAATTAAAAATTAGAGATGCAGGTTAATACAGTACTTTTGTTTTTCTTCTAGGAGTTTGCCTAAACTGTTGAAAGCAAAATGTTGGATTTTAAGGCTTGCCCTCATAATTTTCTTGCAATTCAGCTGATGGTTATACTCATTCTGCTCTCTTTTCTCTCTGTGTGTGTGTACCTATGGAAGGAAGACATTAGGGTTGAAATGTGTGTGAATAGAATCTTTTGCTCTGCTTCCAGCTACTTTGCCTCACTTCTACAAAGCCTGTGATTGATTGATATATTACATATTGAACCAATTATTTCATCACATTTCAAGTTGAATGAGTGAACCTGGGCTACACCAGTGCAATAAGCAATGTAGTGGAACCAGGGTGGATTTGATTTAAATCATGATTTAAAGTTTAAAAATCAATTTTTTTGACAATTTAAATTTTTAAAAATCAATTTTAAATTGTGATTTGAATCAATTTGATCTTTTTAAACATTGGTTTTTTGTCCACCTTGAGCGGAATATAGGGAACTCCCGTCTTTCAAGCTGGATCTTTGCTCCATCTACTTCATCACTGTCTACACTGACTAGCTGCAGCAATCCTTTCAGGATTTGAGACAGATTTCCCATCCCTGTCTAGAGATTTGCTCCCCTTCAAAATGTGGCAATTGAACTGCAAAACCTTATTATTCCTGGTTCACATCTTGCTTTCGGACACAAACATATTAGATGAATCACAGGCCTCTGTTCTCAGCCTCTGTATTTGTAACACAAAGAACAATACTGGTCTACTTAACAGGATTATCTAAGAATTACTGGGGAGGAATGCATTTTACTTTGAATCAGGACCAGGTTCAAGTTTGAGGGCATTTTCAGGAAATTGCCCTTTTGTGTACAGCTTTTTCTTCCTTTGGTATTGGCAGTGGTGCTGTGGTTCTTTTTTCTAAGGATTGTTTCATTGAGGGCTTCTCATCTTTATTTCCTACAGTGCCGCTACCATGTCGCTCTGGTTCATTGTCAGTAAGTAAAATGTCAGCTCCTAGACCAAGCTGCCCAGGGTGAGGGGGTCTTAGGAAGCTTTCGTTGTCCATGAGTCTTTTTAGTAGCTCAAAGGTGCTAGCTGCAGATCTCCTTTGAATATTAAAACTTGATCTGTAAATGGCAAACATGGAAGGACCATGTCCAGAATGTCACAGTGTTGGTGGAGCTGTCATAGGAGCAAGGTGGCCCCCATTTTATTGAGTGTTGAGAGTAACAGGAGAAGACCCCCTGCATCGCATTTCTTATGAGTCCATTCTTTGCTGTGTTATCTCTTCAGTTGCCTCAGAACTGGGCCAGGTGTAATCCTCAGTGATATACAGTAGGACAGGACCCCCTTATCCATGGGATTAGTATCTGCTGATTCACTTACCTACAGTCTGAAAAAATTACAAATATTAATCGGGGGGGAAAATCCAGAAAAATATTAGTTTTCACATGTTTTTCCAGAACTGGCCACTAGAGGGAGACATGCTATGATGAATGCATAGTATGGTCTCTGGCTGCTTTAGGCCTCTTCCCTTGTGAGCTTTCTTCCTCCTCCTGCCTACTGGTTTACCCAGAAGAAGAAAAAATATATATACGAGGCTTTGAAAGCATTGGCAGGGCATTCTAGGCGGGAAGGGGGGGCATCTTGGGCCAACATTTAAGGGCCCACCGGCCTTGTATTGTGGCAGGTGTGAGCGCGTGCAGAGTGATGGCAAGTAGCTTTCCCGAGGCAGCGGTGGCGGCCTCCACGCTTAGCCCTCCCTTTGGGTAAATATTGGGTTTGTGTGGATCGGGGGGGGAGGGGGCTGGGGTTCCTGTGGACTCCTTTGTCCCAAGGGGTTGCCTTCACCTTCAGCATCCGTGGGGGGGGGGGATAGGCAGAAAACATGGTCGGG